ATGGGAAAATTTAGGAAACCCTGACTCGGTGCCGAAGGCCACATGTCCGTCATCACCGGAGTTGTCTCGGCTCGGGAGCTTGGGTACGATCGGGGAAGGTCAGCTATGAGCACCCCCTTTCGCCCGGTCAAGTAATCATATTCAGTCCCATAATAGGGCCTCCGGTACAGGTAACATATTGTAGACATATTAAGTTCCATGATGGAACCTCTGATACCGAGTAATAGCTAACAAATATTACATGATGCTATGGATGCCACAAATACATTGTCATAAATTGAACAATCATTCATTATACAGAACATATTATTTCAGAAAATAGATCTTATTTCATCATACAGAAAATAACTAAAATTGATCATAGCTTTATTAAGTTATTACTTACAGATGCTTCAAAGTAGATAGACAGAGTAGACAAATCAGATAACTTGCGGCGCGTGACCTACGCAGACATAATAGATACACACATAATGAAACACACACTCGGATAACACTTAACTTAGTTCTTTCTTATCCTGGCATGTTTCTAGTCCTTATTCTCATTATTATGTCTTAATCATGGCCTAGGAATGCCTAGGATGCAATGAGGATATCAACACATGCTGTTTAACACTTAGTCAAAATTGTTGAAAATAGGGTCCTCGCTTGAGCGGAACTTCATTCGCTTGAGTAGAGGTACAAAAATAAGCGTGGTTGCTTGAGCATAATTTCTGTCACTCGAGCTGTTTGTAAACTCTGCAAAAGTACTGGTTGCTTGATTTTTTCGCTTGAAGCACGCTCGATCGCTAAAGCGTGAGACTGAGGTCTTTGCTCGAGTGGTTTGCAAAATGTGTAAACTTCTAAGACCATGCAATTTACACTCGAGTTAACTTTTGGTCCCTCGAGCAGAAGTGCAAATCAGATAGTGGTCACTCGAATGCAGATTCTGTCGCTCGAGCGAAGATGTAGAATTATGAAATTTCCAGATTGCTCTTCATACTGCAAAACTTGAATTCAAAGCCTTAAAACACATCATTTGGGCCCAAAACTTAATAAATCTCTTGTAAACTAGTAAAACATCATGAATTCAAAGCCATTTCGCAAAATCAAAGACCAAAGGTAAGCTAATTGAACCAAATCAACTTAGAGTTTAAAGAACGTAACATGTATGCATTAATATGAACTTAACATTTTCAAAACATGATCAATTAAGGCCAATTGGTAGGAAATGTGATGAATTCTTAAAATCAAACTAGACTTGATACATGCATAAGAGAATCCTTTCGAAAACATCAAAACTCTATGAAATGCACATGCATATATGAAATGTTCATCTTTTCTACATTATTAGCTCAATTCTCTCATATTTCAACTTAATCCTCTAGAATTCGTGTCCTAGATATCATAAGTATATTGTCTAAGTGTTGAATCCTTACCTCATCTTCTCAATTAAGCTCTAGATGATGAATTCACTAAGCTTCCAAGCCAAATCCTTGAATTCCTAAGCTAACTCTTTCCAAATTCTAGCAATTCCCATGATTGATCTCAATTCTCTCTTCCTTTCTTTCTCATACATTTTTTAGGCTCAAAAAGCTCGAAATGAGAGTGTGTAAAATGATCTAAGGCTTAACATTAGCCTTATATAGGCTCCACTAATTAATTTAGCTTAGCCTAATGAATTTATAATTAATTAATCTAATTATTTGGTTCCAAATCGAATTTCAATTAAATCTACCACAAAATTCTAAAAATTCCAAATAACACATAAATCAAGTCAATTTCGTGATCGGATGCCAATAAGGCCTTCAATTCACAGACATAACAGAAACACGATAAATATACATGTACAAATGCAAATAACATATAATTCATGCAATTAACTCATGATTTCCTCTTAATTATTTATTAGACATCCTTAATCATGGTTTAACAATTAATCACAGGTCAGAGTTATTACAAAATGCCTCAATTGTATGGGTTTTTAGATAACCATTTTTTGCGTAGTCGGACTTAAGTCTTGGAATTTGTAGCCTTTGGACATTTATTTTATTGTTATTTTCTTTTACTTTTATATTGTCACACATGGCATGGATTCATCCTTTTAGAAGAGTTGAATGTATATTACATGTGGACACTTTTGTATACCTCTCTCATTAATGAAATGCTAATTATGAGAATTGATTAATCAAATTAAGATTGTTTACTGGATGGATGAATCCAGCCTTTTATACCAATTATTTGGGGGCGTTACAACTTTGTATCAATGCTACCAGGTTCGAATACTTGGAGCTTACAGGAAGTGATTTTATCACAATGGGTTCATTTTGCCAATTAGAGGATGTGCCATGTTTTAACTGTTACATAATAACATGTTATTGTGACTAGATGGGTATGAGATTGAACTTTTAGGATGTTGTTTGCTTCCACTAAATTCCTTGAAGTCTTATTAGTAGGGCACTTGATCAATATTCATTCTAATAGAAACTCCTGGTATTTCGTGGAGAAAACCATTATCTTGAATGACTAATCTGTATGTGTTTATGTGAATTATGTATTTACATGGAATGAAAATTTGTTAATTATTGTAATGAGATATGAGAGGTTCAGTTACGAGCACATATGTAATAATGAAGTAAATTGTTCGTTATTGTTCTTAAATTAGGATGCAAGGACGAGGTCTAGTACGCAGTGGTAGAGGCGATAGGTGGGCAGGCCTTGCTGAAGTGTTCGTGCAGTGCTGGTTCACCAAGTTCTGGTGCAAGAAGCGGGGTTCGGTCAAGCTAATATGGCCGACCCAGCGGCCCAAACAAACATGGCCGGAGCAAGGGGATCAACCCGTTATGGGTCTCTTAGCCAGAGAGATGGTAGGGGCTTTGAGAGAGTCTATGAATATCTTGAGGGTAGTGAACCAAGCCCGAGAGCATGCCGTATAGACAAGGGCAGTTTTTCTTACCTGAGAGTTTCTGCGGGCCAAACCGAATGAGTTCCATAGTGGCCCAAAGCCCAAGAAGGCGAATGAGTGGTACGAACAGACCGTGAAGACATTTGAGATGCTTCACATTGATGATGGTGAGCTTATGGTGACTTTAGCGAGTTACTACTTAAAGGGGGACGCTGGCTAATAGTGGAAATCCGACAAATGCAAGGTTAGACCGATGTGGGAAGCGTTTGTTATAGCTTTCCAAGACTAGTACCTACCTCCCACTACTAGGGAGAGATTGAGGCAGGAGTTTCTAGACCTCAAACAATTGAACACGACGATGGCCAAATTTGAAGCGGCCTTTACTAGTTTGTCCCAGTTTGCATCGGAGTTGGTGGCGACGGATGAACGTTGCATTAAATTTGAGAAGAGACTTAGAACTAATTTTTTTTTAAGGTTATTGGGAATATGATCCAAAACTACGATCGACTTGTGGAGGTGGCGTCACATATAGAGATTATAATGCAGGCTGAGGAAGAGAGAGCAGGAGTCATAGAGGGATTTTAGGCCCAGTAAGAAGCACAGGGGTTCCGCTTCATCTCAGTTCCAGTCACAGTAGACCAGATCTACTTTTTTGTTGCCTAGTGTAGGCACGAGGAAGAACGCTTAGGATAGGTTCATCTATTTCAAATGTGGCCAGTTGGGTTACAAGGCCAATGCCTGTCCACAGAAGGGAGGAGAACAGTAGATGCCACCACCACCACCGTCTAAGTAATCCCAGAATAAGGCACAATGACCTACTTATTTTCAGTGTAGTTAATCAGGGCACATGAGGAGAGCATATCCACAGTTGGGAGGCGTATCTGGCCCATCAGGATCGAAGCAAACATAGAGCCACCAACAAGTTCATTTAGTCCAAACCTCACGAGCTATCTAGGAAGCCACTTCAGCTCAGTCAGTATTGCAAGCCTATGCTCTGAGCGATGAGCAGGTTGATCAAAGGCCACATAGGCGCGTGTATGCTATTACAACGCCATGTTAGTTGCTAGGATCCTCTATTGTGAGAGGTAATTTTGTTGTGTTCAATTCTATGGCTAGAGTGCTGATTAATACAAGTGCGTCACATTCATTTATATTTATTGCTTTCACTTTTGCTTTGGGGTTAAAGATTGATCAACTAGAGTCTCCATCGTGGGTTGAGTCACCGGTTGGGAGTAGAGTGGCATTGGGACGAATATGCTGCTCTCGCGAGATTAAGGTCGCAGATCACCAACTCTCTTGCGATTTCATTATCTTACACATGCACACTTTTAATTTTATATTAGATATGGATTGGCTGTCATATTTCCAGGCCACGATAGATTGCCAACGCTACCGAGTGTCTGTATGCACACCTACCGAGGATTATTTTTATTTTCTTCATGATTGGGGTGATAGTTCGATTCCACAGTTGTATGACCTTAAGGGTCGGCGAGGGCTTAGCTTTCTTTTTGCCACTTCCTTGATCGAAAAGGGTAATATGGTTTGAGATGACCTGTCGAGGGTAATTTGTGAATACCCAGATGTTTTTCCCGAAGATCCTACCAGATTGCCACCCCACCGAAACATTGAACTCTCCATTGACCTAGTGCCCAGTACGGTACCAATTTCCATGGCACCACATAGATTTGCACCTGCCAAGTTGCACGAGTTGAAGATCCAACTCCAAGAACTTTTAGATAAGGACTTTATTTGCCCCAGTACATCACCTTAGAGAGCACCGGTTCTCTTTGCGAAGAAGAATAATGGATCATTGCGGTTGTGTATTGATTACCGCAAGTTGAATCGAGTTACCATTACGAACAAGTATCATCTACCCAGAATAGATGACTTATTTGACCAACTTAAAGGGTCCCGTTACATTTCAAAGATAGACTTGAGATTGGGATACCATCAGGTGAGGGTTAAGGAAGTGGACATCCAGAAAATGGCTTTTCGTACGCGTTATGGCCATTATGAGTTACTAATTATGCCATTCGAGTTAATCAATGCAACGCCTTCATTTATAGACTTGATGAATCAAGTCTTTTAGGAGTTCTTATATCGATTCGTAGTCATCCGTATGGACGAGATTTTGATATATTCACCATCTGAGGAGGAACACGATAAACACTTGCGGATAATACTTGAATTGCTTAGATTGCACAAATTATATGCCAAGTTTGAGAAGTGTGAATTTTGTCTTTCAAAGGTAAAATTTTTGGGCCACGTGGTGTTGGAGGAAGGAGTGACTATTGATTCCTCTAAGGTAAATTTCATACAAGCTTGGGAACGACCTAAAAATCTTTTTGAGATTCGGAGTTTCTTGGGGTTAGCCAGGTATTACTGCCGTTTTGTAAAGGACTTCTCTAGACTAACCACACCATTGACCAGGTTGACTAGAAAGGGTGTCAAGATTGTATGGAATGAGACTTGTGAGAAATCATTTCAAGAACTGAAGGCTAGGTTGACCACCGCACCAGTTTTGATAATTTCGGAATGGGACTTGGGTTATACTGAGTATTGTGATGCGTCCTAGAATGGGTTGTGTTGTATATTGATGCAAAATGGAAAGGTTGTAGCTTATGGCTCACGTCAATTAAAAACCCATGAGAAAAGCTATCCTACTAATGACTTAAAGCTAGCAGCGATAATTTTTGCCCTAAAAACTTGGAAACATTATTTGTACGGTGAGAAGTTTGATGTTCATTCTGACTACAAAAGCCTAAAATACCTATTCTCCCAGAGAGATTTGAATGTGTGCCAACGTAGGTGGATGCAGTTTATGGAAAACTATGATTTTGAGTTACACTATCATTCGGGGAAGGCCAATGTCGTGGCTGATGCCCTTAGTCGAAAGTCCGTGAGTATTGTGGCAAGTGTGTCCATTTGGGAATGGGTTATGTTGAGTGATGTCAATGAGTCTAGCAACGGTGCAACCTTTTCTACGTTGATTGCACAACCCACCATGATTAGCAAATTCATAAAAGCACAACAAGGTGACCTTAAAGTGAAGACAATTTGTCAAAGGATTTCCAATGGAAAGGAAGAGAAGGGTTTGAGCATCCACTCAAATCTGAGTGTAAGGCATTTAGACTGTTTGTTTGTGCCAGAATGTTGTAGAGAGGAGGTACTTTGGAAGTTTCATCATTCACGCCTTGCAGTACATCCGAGAGGCACAAAAATGTACCATGACCTTAGTCACCAGTTTTGATGGAGGTGAGCAGGATGTTGCTTCTTTTGTTTCGAAATGCCTTATTTGTCAACAAGTTAAGATCGAGCACCAAAAACCAGCATGTTTGTTATAACCTTACCTATAACCGAGTGGAAATGGGAGCATAACACCATGGATTTCATGGTTGGACTTCTGAGAACACAACAGGGTAACGATGATGTCTAGTTGGTTATTGATAGGTTGACTAAGTCTACACACTTCATTCCTATCCGCATAGGCGACTTAGTTGATTATTTGGCAAAGTTGTATATTATAGAGACAGTTTGACTCATGGGGTCCCAGTGACCATTATTTCAGATAGAGACCATTGTTTTAGATAGAGACCCTCGTTTCATCGTCCGATTGTGGCAAAGCCTTCAAGAGGCGTTGGGAACCAAGTTAACTTTTAGCACCACCTACCATTCTCAGACCGATGGACAATCTGAGAGTACTATTTAGATTTTAGACGATATGCTTAAAGCTTGTGTCGTAAATCTCAAAGGGTCTTGGGAGAGACATTTACCATTGATTGAATTTGCCTACAATAATAGTTATCAGGTGAATGTTGGATGACACCATTTAAGGCCCTATATGGCCAACTTTGTAGATCGCTGGATTGTTAGGCTGAGGTAGGCGATGCACCGATGTTGGGCTTATAGCTAGTCCAAGACATAACCGAGAAAATTGTTCTTATCTGAAAGAGATTGCTTACAGGTCAAAACCGACAGATAAGTTATGTCAACAAGAGGAGACAACCTCTATCCTTTGAGATTAGTGACCATATGTTTCTTAAAATCTCATTAAGGAGGGGTTTGATAAGGTTTAGAAAGAGTGGGAAGCTATATCCAAGGTTTATTGGACCTTTTGAGATCTTAGAACGGATTGGAGAGATGGCACACCGTTTGGCCTTATCAACACAACTTTCCGGGATTCATGATGTGTTTCATGTTTCAATGCTTAGGAAATATGAACCCAACTCTTCACACATGCTTGACTGGTTTAGCTTGGAGGTAGATAAGGAAACCTCATACGAAGAGCGACCGGTTCAAAATTTTAGATGTTCGAGACCAAGTGTTGAGGGGCAAGACCATACCCTTGGTGAAGGTGTTGTGGAGGCACCATGAAGTTGAGGAGACAACTTGGGAACGGGAGGCGGAAGTTTGCTTTAAATACCTAGATTTGTTTAGTAGTGTTTAGCTAATTTGAGAAGTATGATATCTTTTGATGTTGATTTGAGAAAATGGGGCAATGCCATGCAAATTACTTGTTATGGAAATTATTGTGATTTTAAACATGAAGATTTCCTTGAATCATCGAAAATTTTGATTTGACTTCATGATTATGAATATTGTATCGGTTGTTATGAGGCCACGTTTTTAACCCTATTGATAAATGATGATCATTTCGGGATATTATTGATGCTGTGATCCTAGGCTTAAAAAAATTAAAATTGTTGTTATTGTGGGTGTTGTGAAAGTTTCGGTCTTATTATTGTCATTTGGAAGTTAGTTCTGTGATTGGAAATGGTTATGGTTGTTAGACTTGAGCATTGTTTCTTGTTGTGAGTAATGGTTTAATTTCGGAAACAAAATTTCCTAAGGTGGGGAGGTTGTGTTGTCATGACCTGAACCCACCTCTAGAGGTTTGGATCATAATCGGCCAGTAATCATGAGATTACTTATGGCCTCAGATGGAAATTCAAATTTTAATTAAGTATATGGGGCCAGAAGCAAAAGCAAAATAATAATAAAAAAAAAATTGTCCAATGAGCTGTGTATATATGGCATATCAAAAAACTTATAAGTTTATAACCCACATCCAAAATACATTCGTACATACATACATTCATGCTTGCATGTGTAGGAGTACAATTCATCAACTTACAAAAACTCAAACTCTTATAAGAAAAACATGGTCTAACATGACCAACAAAAAAAAAAAAGAAAGATAAAAGCCTCATCCAAGAGGCACTCCTCGATTGACATCACAAAACTTCGGTAATCTTCTTCACTATCACTACGGATGGACATCCTGTTGCTCACCTACATATATGTATATATATATATATATATATAAAGGAGTAGAACGACCTTAGGTCCACCATATACATTCATACTTCGTCATTTACATTTTCAGATATTATGCTGATCGGATAGATAGAATGCACATTCATACTTTCAAAATTACAAGTTCAAAAAATAGAAAATAGAACATAAGAAAATATCTTTACTAGATATTGCTCACATCAATTTGATTGTTGACATGGCTTTGTGGGTGAACCTACACAATACGTAAACACATAAACACATTGGAACATAGTGCTTGATCATTCTTAACTTATATAATTCCTTAAAGTCCAATTATTACTTGTTACTTCCTTTATGAGGCTTAATTCATGCCTACAGATGTTCTAAACGGAATGAGAATGAAGATATAAATAGAATACAACTTTTCAAAATGTGCTGAAAGAAGACAGTTTGCTCGAGCAGTCCTTTAGTCTACAAAAGTACTGATGGTCGCTTGAGTTAAGGTGTGAAGAAAGCTGAGGTCGCTCGAGCAGTCACTTGAGTGCAATATTCTACAAGCGGTCACTTGAGTGCAATGCTCTGCAAAAATACTGGAAACGCTCATTGTGAGCTCGAGCAGTTGCTTCATCACTCAAGTGATGAGGCGAAATTAGGGGTTTCCAAAACATAATTTTGTGTTTCAAAACTTGAGTCTTTAAGTCAAAAACTTGCATGGCTTGTACATAATCTTGCAAACACTTAGAAAATCATGAATATGTAACCAATTCAAACCCTTAGCTCAAAACTCCATGATTTCATCAAATTGAAGCTTGAACTTCAAAAATTCTTCATAAATGGAATTTTAATCTTCATGCACGTATGAACTTGTTTCCAATTCTTCTTTTACAACTTTCAAAACATGAAATTGAACTTCAAAACTTTATGAATCATGGATGCATGTATGATTAACTTTAAAATCCAACAAGGATGACGAAATTCAAGTTCAACATGATGAATCAGTTCATAATTATGTATGCATGTATGCCTAGCCTCATTCTCATCATCTTTTAGCTCATTTTGTGTGTTTAATCTCAACTCTCTATGAATTCATTAACTAAATGGAGTAATGACATGAATTAAGGATCAACGCTTACTTAAAGTCTTGAATTTGTTGAGTACTTGCAAAATTCATGGTCTTCTTCTTCCAATCCTTCAATTCTCTAGCCAAAATTCCAAATTCTCTAGCTCTCTCTCTCTAAAAGTTGAACTCTCACTCTCACTCTAAATAGCTCTCCAACAAAATGATGAAATGAACTCATCTCCTCCTCTTCTTATCATATATATACATTAGATTCGTTTAAAATAATTAGAGATTAAGAACTAATTAAGGCTTAAGGCTAATTGATTAAAACTTAATTTTATTAAACTGAATTAATTTTTAATTAAACTTCCCAAAAGACTCTAAAAACTATGACAACCTAATTAAACTTATCAATTTTGTTTCTGAAGTTATCTAGGCTTTCAATTTCAAGTTCAAAACATAATTCCTAACTGATAATTCACAAATCAGACAGATACTTACAAATTAAATATAAAGCACATATTTAAAATTCAAATCTCACACAAATTAAATAAATGTAATTATGTTACATGGTGGGGTTATCACATGTGATGTCCCAAGTTCTTTTTAAAACAAATTAAGTGTTTCAATCTAGAATTTCCACTTCTTTTGATCATCCTTGCTACTTTGGAACTTTATGAGTCTTATATTGTCGTCTGTTCTTTCTTTGGAGTTATTTGAGTACATCCTAGTGTGTTCCGAGGTGTTGTTTTGTATTTGTGCGTGTCAGAGTGAATCCAGGATTAATAGAAGTGCATTAAGGTAGCTATTGTCTCTGTTCTGAGTTGGAACAACTCAAGCGGTATTTTCATCGCTTGAGTGGTGACGTTGTCCTTCCAGTATCTTGTTATGCAATCTGAATTATTGGGAGTGTGTATTCTTCCCTTGAGCAAAAGTTTCGTCGCTCGAGCAGTCTTTTGTAGGGAGGAGTGAGTTTTTGGAGTTGATATTCTTCAGTCAAGTGCAAGATTATTCGCTCGAGCATTCCAAAATTTGAATTCACCACTTGAGCAGAATTGTTCTCTTGAGTGGTCTGTTTGTAGTCTTCTTCAAAAAATGTGTCCAATCACTTAAGAGTTAAGTCCTTTACACACTTCTCCTTCACTTTTCACTTCACACACACACACACTCTCTCTCTCTCTCTATATATATATATATATATTACTTTCTGTATTTTCTTTCATCTCTCTCTAGAAACCCTTCACACACCTCATTTATTTCCTTGATCTTTCCAAATCCATTGGGTTTTTAACCCTTGTAGTTTCATTAATATTGGAGAGCTCATCAATGGCTACATTGTGTGCGGTGGAGATTGGATTCCGACACCGTCTATTTTGAAGTTCATCTCATTTTCTATTTCCAAGACTTCAGTTAGGGAGTTTCTTTGAGTTATAAATATGGTTTGAGCATGTCTCCTTTATTTTGCCTAGATTTTGCGAAGAGGTTGCGATTTAAATGTGGGATTTTGGAAATGTTAAAAATAGACTTTTATTGTAATGAAGTTCAAATAAAAATGGTTTTATGGACTTGTGAACCTCTTGAGAGCTTATGGAGGAAAGTGTTTTGGAAATGAAGGAAAAATCCTCTTTTATTCAAACCCTAGACTTGGGAGAAACCATGGGAAATTTGATTTTTGTGAAAATAATTATGAAGATGCTTGAAATTTCTTAGAAAGAAGTGATGAAATTTCATTGTCGTTATTTTGATTGAAATATTCATGGGACGGACAAACTTTGTGTCGAGAAATTTATATGATAGCATGATTTTGTATATGCTTGGACTATGAAATGAAAGTGAACATTGATTATGAATATTAGATGGTATCAGATATCCAATGGAAATAGATTTTGTTATGATTTGAGCAAATGTGGAGAATTAGAGAATGTTATGATGAAATTTTATATTTACATTTTATTTGATTCATTTTACACAAGTTTTGAATATCATTTGTTGTAGCTATGCCTCGGAATTTGATTTATTATTTTGAGAAAACAATTGGAAATCTTGAAATGTTTTGGGGTAAATACGTTTGGTAAGTCCGGATAGGGGTGTAGATGGTAATGTTTATGTTGGCCTGAGTGTCTGGGGTGAAAGATGAAAAACAAGCACGGAGGAGGTACCACGTGCGTTTTGGTTAGGAACCGGTAAAGTGAAGAAATGGTAATGCTTGTTATGTCTATTTGCAGACACCAACCTAAGAATTACTTAAGTCGTATTTACCTCATATTTAAAAATTTCAATTTATCGAGATAATGAATTATCTTAAAAGATCATTGCATATGATTTTCAAAGAAATAAAACTCATGACTTTTGGAGCATGGCATGGCATTGCATTCAAGTAAATAAGACTATTTAAACATATATACTTTGTGAAGATATCTCTATTGGGTTTCATGCTCATCCTTAGTGGATTTGTGTAAAAGAGAATGTGGTGATTTCATCAAGTTAAGGCGGGGAACATGTTTTGAGAGCACAAGGCTCTTGTATATTTTATTGTATATTCTGACAAGACAAGGGCTTTAATTGTATAGGTTTTTTGATAACCATTTTTTGTGTAATAGGGCTTAAGCATTGGAATTTGTAGCCTTTGAACATTTATTTTGTTGTCATTTTCTTTTACTTTTATATTGTCACACATGCTATGGTTTCATCCTTTTGGAATAATTGAATACGTATTGCATGTGGACACTTTTGTATACCTCTCTCATGAATGAAATGCTAATTGTGAGAATCGATTAATCAAATTAAGATCGTTTACTAGATGGATGAATCCGGCCTTTTTATACCAATTATTTAGGGGCGTTACAATCACCGCTCTCCACATCTTCGGCAAGATCTATTACTACCGATATGGAGGTCCAAATCTGACGAGTATTGATTCTGAGTTCTTCGAGTAGTGGTGGTTCATCTTCAAACCCAAAGCCGATTTCGATCAAGAACGAAGTCGATGGTGCGACGGAGTTGACGTCGAAGGACATGAAAGGTATGCTAGGGTTTGCGGATTGTGGTAGCTAGAGCGTCACTATGAGAAGCTGCTGTTGTTAGGTGATGGTACCGAGGTTTGTGCCAAAAAGGAATTATTAGCTGGATGTTGAATTCCTTCGACATGATCGAGGATCGGCTGACATAAATCAAGGGTTCGAATCTCAAAACCCATAATTAGGGTTTTAATATAGAAATTAAGAGAGAGAGAGAGAGAGAGAGAGAGAGAGAGAGAGGGAAATTAGGGTTCTGAGGTTGGAATGTGAGAGAGTGTGTGAGAAACAAAGGCTCCTTTTGGCAGAGCTTTGAAATTATAATTTCATACCTACTTTTGAGTGTGGTGTTTGTTTGGAGTTTTCAAATTATAATTTCACACCCACTTTTGAAAAAATTATTTCAGACCAGTTGACCGGAATAGTGTTCTTTTTCTTTTTTTTTTATTGTAAATAAAAATTATTTTCGGAAATTTTAAATTTTGTATATGAGTTTTGAATAGAATTTTGAGTTGTGTGTTTAGTTATAAATTGTAAGTTTTTGAATCAAATAACTTTTCTAATTTCAAAAACTCAAAACTCCCTCCAAAACTCAAAACTCCCTCTAAAACTCTTTTCAAAACTCATAACTAACACTGCTGGAAATTAGGCTTTTAGCGGCGTTTAAAAAACACCGCTATAAGTATCAAAAACGTCGCTAATTCTTTTTGTGACGTTTAGTACCAAACGCCGACGACGCGGCCGTCGCTATAACTTTATGACGTTTGGAAAACGTCGCTATATTAGTATAGGCGACGTTTTTAAAAACGCCGCCAAATGTCCTACCCTAACAATACTGTGACGTTACTATGATTTTAGCGACGTTTTTAAAACGCCTTCATAGGTTTTTTAAATTTTAAAAATTCCAACCGTTATAGTGGCATTTTAAAAACGCCGTCATATCTTTCTCTTTTTTTTTTTTTTTTGGTTTTGAAATTGTGCTAATTTTATGTGATTAAACTAAAAGAACACCAATAATAAAACTAAATAATACTAATATGAAATAATAACTCACATTCAAATAACAAATATAGCATTAATTCACCTTCCCATTCAATTTAATATAGCATTAATTTTCCCACAAAATAACATATTCAAAAATTGAATTCACAATTCTCAATCAAAAAATTACTACCTTATATACAAAGCCACAAAATAACATTACCCTCCTCTCTCTGTCACCACTCCCCCATTTAATACAAAAAATAAGAAGTGAACCAAAACACCCACAGTCAGATCCAAGGAAAAAAAGAAAAAATAAGAAAAATAAAAAACCAAAGGATTGTAATACAAAAAATCTGAAAAAATTGCTGGCCCTTTGGCAACTAATTCAGAAGTTGTGGTTGGATCCGATGACAATTTGGTAAACAACTTCTTCACTTGCTCAACAAGGTCCTCATGCTTCACAGCTCCAGAAGCAACAATTACCTAGAATAGTAGCTCCAGGTAGAACACCCAATGTTTAGGACTTCAAGAAAGTAAATTGACGGCATTGAATAATTGATAGATGAATGAAGGTGAAGCCAACATGTTAACTAAATAGAACTAGCAAGAAATTATGAACAGACAAAATGCTCATAACTTTATGACACCACCTACCATTCTGGATGTAGTATAGTGTGTCGATATATACTTTTGAAGATGATCTTACCAGGGAAACCAACATAAAATATAGGCACACTTTTCTTAATATACAATCAAAAATGTATCTACAGTCAAAAAGCTCATTTCTTTAATATATAGGCACACTTTGTGGCTCAACTAACTATATAAAAATAAATTCAAAAAAAAAACCAAAACCAAAACCAAAATAGAAAATTTCTACATATATATATATATAGAGAGAGAGAGAGAGAGGAGGGGGGGAGTTACATTAGGGCGAAAGATACGGTTCGATTGGGAGAGTTTAAGCTCTGCAGACATGGCAACGAGAAGGCAGAGAGAGATGAGTAGAAGAAAGACATAAACACAACAGAGCAGACCAGACCGAACCCAACATCGACCAGAATTAGAAGATCTACATTACATTAGCACTACCAATTAGACATAAATACCTACATTACATTACCACTACCAATTAAGCATAGTAAGATCTCATTAAAAAAGTAACAATTCATGTGTTGTGGCAAAAATTGTTCCCTACTGAAACTCCACTTCAGTAACACAATTTACTGTTGTATCTATCAATAAGTGCTCTTTTGACATAAAAATCTATAATTACTTTGACATTAAAAAAAAATTCAAGAATCACAACTAAACACTGCATTGAATTCCAGCCGGATCTTGGTTCCTTGTCCTCACAGAATGATAACATTAAGGGTCTTGTTTGGGAGCACGATGCTGTTAGTCACCACGACTTCATCTTCAACTGTCACAGCTTCTCCTGCATCAGAGAGAAAAACCCATTATTATGAGATGGCATTCTGCTTCGGACACACGAGACATGAGAAGGATAGGGTGATTACCAAGGATGGTGATTCCAAGCTTGGCATTGTAGTCTCCTTCAGCCTGAACCACAAAATCAAAAGTAGGGTCAGTTGTAAAAACTAGAAAGAATGCACAAAGATTTGATCACACCAAGTATCCATACGTTTTTTAGCTTCAGTTGTCACAACAGATTGCCACTATTGGACTTGGGAAATCTTTTAAAATGCCCGGGATGATAGAATCATTAAAATTTACAAGTGGTAACAAATTATTGACAGAGAGACAAAAAAATCTAGCATGTCAAGAGCTTCAACATATTGACATGTCAAAGACATTTAGAAGCTTTAACTTAATACCACACTGATAAAAAAGGCGAATCAATTGGCAATTTTAGGAATATCAAATGCTTTCAGAACAGTGAAAATGTGATCAAGCTTACTTGGGCACGCGACCATTTCCCAATAGATGATTTCCTTCCAACAATAGCATGCATAACTACTGCATTTTCCTGTCAGGAGATTATTAACATATTAATCTCAGGTCTTAGGTGTAACTGTTCTATAACGTTTTTCAACTCTTTACCTTTATTTAAACGTCATCTAAGATGATGAAACTTATAAGCCTTACACCTGCTGCTATACGAACATTTGCTGAGATTGAAACATTAGGGCCAATCTGTTTAAATGAAAATGAACAAATTTAAATATACAAAATGGGAAAGAAAGGCTGAAAATCATGGAAAATATCCAATTCAGGATTCAAAACTAGTTTCAACATTCGGCATGGGTTTCAAAAATACTTGAAAAAGCACAGAAAGATAACCAATACTGTTGAGCAATGTGAAACAACTATTGGAAAGAGATGAGACAGAATTACCTTAGCAGTTGGATACATTTTTGCAGATGGACGACCATAAACATCACCGATAATTGTAGCCCATTTAGAGCCATCCCCCCTCGCTAGGAGATGGGGAGAGGTAAATCGAAATTGAGAAAGGTACAAAGAAGAACTAATTGGAAAATTTGTGGGTTTGGTATGGGAATTGGAAAATTTGATATTCACCTCTATGAGTCCAACCATACTTAATTTCTGGGTGAGTGAAACAAGCTGCTGGAATGCTCAAATGGTTGAGCAAGTGATCTTTTCTGCTGACTTGTTCAACAACTATATGAAGAGAGCAACGCTAAATAGATTATCTATGTTTAGCAAGAAATTTTATTAGAAAAAAATTTATTAAATGGTTGAAACAAGTGATCTCTTCCATTCCGCTTTAGTAAGAAATTTTATTAGAAAAAAAGAAAAAGAATCCATACAATGATTTCTTTATCCTATTAAGAAAATACAACCATTTACTTTAGTATACATTCATAAATAATTCTTACCCATTCAACAGTCCAAGTCAACCCTTCAGTTATTTTTCACCCTGGTTAAGCATGGGTTGTTCAACAATACAAAGCAGATTGGCATACTCAGGCACAAAATAAATATTCCAAGTTAACATTCTATGAGCTATAACTAAGAATAGCATGATCAAGATATAATGTAGCCCAATTAGCTTCATAGCATTCAAGTAAAGTTAGTTGCGACCAATAAATTTGAAATCATGCACCTCACACTTGGGCTATATAATTACCTTAATTAATTTCCTACTAGCAGTCAAAAACTTCAATTTCGCTGACAATGATCATTTGAAGTTTGGAGGAGCCCAATATTGTTCCTACGAAGGAAAAAACTATAATCACTATTGGAATGAATACAGAAAAAAGAGGTGAAGGTCAAATCTTATATTAAAACAATGTCTTAGAAAGTATTGGCATGATTAATATAACAATTTTTTGCCATTCAATAGGTCAAATGGTATTTAATCACAATGGTAGTGATTAAGTAGTGAAAAAAAAAATTACAAGAAAAGTGAATATATTACGAGAACAAACATAGGCAACCTCAACTCTCAATGTGCTTAGTGGAAACCTACCAATGGTCAGGTTATCCTACCATACAAAATATATCTCCGCATATTATACAATCTTATTGACAAAAGATTGTTAATAAAACACTTGCTATCATAAATTTAGTATCTTACCATTAGACAACAACATTAATGAGAAAATACAACGCTTTTAGATAAAGATTCCTAGCAAGACTTACTATTGAAATAAACTTTGAAAAATCCAGTTGCAATGCCATCAAGTGCCCACAAGTCAAATCATTATTGGTACTTATGCTTAAGGAGATCCAAATTAGCTTAGCATATGATCAAAAGGTCATGATACAGTATAGTACAATCCTTGTATGCTTACAATTAGGCAAATTGATGCCTAAAATATGTGATTATATAGTAGATGATCATAAACTACCAAAATATTTGAAATAGAATGTAAAATTACCTCTATGTATGCAGCTATAGTAGTCTTATTAGAACCACCAAGCTCCTTCAAGTTGTTTAAAGCATCCATGAGAAGATTACACATTGAAAGCAGAACTGGAGAGAGACATTACCCAACCTATACAACTTTACTTCACTGCAGCAACCTTGGCTAAATTGTAAACAAACTCACAATCACAAATCAGAACATGAAAATCCAAATTAGTTTCATGCAGCTAATACCAGATATTGTAAACGACATGATAAAATGCAAGATGCACATATGAGGATTTCATATCAAAATTGGTTGGAAAAAAATTTACTGATCTTTTGTGAGAGATAATAAATGAATGCAGAAATTTTATGGGTAATCACAAGTTCTGAAATTTATCTACATTCAGTCCAACAACAAGGGTCCACGTGATAGTTTCATTGTTAATATATGGTATCTTATTATGTAAATCAATAAATACCTAATTATTGAAGGATGTTGGTGGATCAAATTGGAAGGGAGATTCCTCCAGGTATGACACACATGCTCACATGCATTTGTCTATAGACACATGCCCCTGTTTGGCAAACAAGTTTTAGCAGCTTTTTTGCCCTTTTAGACCAAAAGACAATTTTGTTTGGCAAATGCTTTTCAGATGACAAACCCAAAAAGCTCAGTTTTTTTAAAAAACAGAAGGCAGGCGCAAAAACAACTTTTTTAGTAGTTTTTCAAATGCATCAGTTTTTTTAGCAAATGCACCGCCCCCCCAACCCCCAAAAAAAATAAATAAATAAAAAACAACAAAAAAAAAACAGCATCTGCCAAACACCTACATTCTTTTTTTTCCTTTTTCTTGGTCATCCATCATATGGGTTTTCAAATTACTATTACAACGTAATCATATCCATCAATGAGTGAGAATGTGAACACATGTTATAAAAAGTCCTTCCAATATCAAACTATTGAATTCTTGCTAAATTTTACTACTTAAATGTAAACATCAATTTTAAAGTTTTCGCAACACTGTTTGTACATTATTTCTTTAGTTCAACGTTTTAGGATTTTAACTTTTTAATTATAAAATAACAATTTCTTCCTTCTTCAAACACTACCTTTTTTCTCTCTATCTCTGCTTCCCTTTGCTTTAATTGATCACTTTTCTCTGGCTTGTTTTAAAGGTCCAATTATAGTGTTGTAGTGACAGATGTCTAAGCAGTAAATCAAACAACACTTAAAATTTGATTTACTAGATCTGTGAAATTCTCCACTGGATTGCATCACAAGTTTAATATGCTTAAACGTCAAAATGAATGCTACTAGACTCGATAGCAAGGTGTAAGAATTGAAAGTTAAGTATAAATGGTATAATTTCTCCTGCGGTGAATGGGTTGATTTTAAAAAAGAAGGTCAGGGAGATTTAATCTTCTAGGAAGGACAAGAAATTAACAGACTTCAATGTGCAATTAATTATGATGGTCATGTGCGCATATGAAAAAAAGGAATTGTCCATGACCACAAAACAAAAAAGGGAAGAACGTCCGATTGTCCAAAAGTACTCTGACCAAAAATGCTTGGCATGCCTCCAAAACCACTTGTACCAGCTATATTAAGGCACCAAAGAAAAAGGGGGGCAGGGGGAAATCAGCCATAAAAATATTGAAGATTTACAGAAAAGAGAGACAAAGCAAGAAATGATTATTAGGAGAGTTAGAAAACAAGAAATGCCAAAATGAGATTCCAAAAAAGGAAAAATAATGGACTAAAGAGAGACAAAGCAGATATGATATTACTATGTTAGCAGATCGGAGAAAGAGAGAGAACAGATCTGATCTTAGAGAGAGCAGATCTGCATCTCTTCATCGTTGAGCTTCTACTCATGGTTACCAATGATCCACATCCAACACCACCTGCTTGTCCCGTACATGATTAGAGACACTAACAGCGCACTCGAAACCCTAGATAAATCGATTCACCATTGCTGCTGCTCAATCTGATGAAAGAGAAGAGTTTTCCACACAAGGACTAGAAATAAAGGAACAAAAACGAAAGGAGAAAACACAACAAAAGCAAAAAAAAGCTAGAAATCAACTAAATCAAGAGAAAGCAATTCCAAATCGTTAGTTTTAGCCATGAAATTTTATAGATCTTGTGTGAATGTAGCAAATCTATATCAGAAAACCCTAACCTTGAGCCCTAGATCGATTTAGATCCTAGGGATTCAAACAATCACGGAAGATATACGCTCAAATCACGAGTAGAACAAGATTTTTCAGATCAAACAACTGAAGAATTGATGGAGATCGAAGATCTGACGCCTCGAAGATCCGATGCCTCGATTTCTCTCTCTTCCTGAAGTCATGCCTCTGTTCAATCTGAATAGAAGAATGTCATACCCTTGAGTTGATCCACTGTTTAAAAGAAATAACCGGGACACAAAACGAGAGATGGTTTAGTTTAATTTTTTTGGAATTTGAAAAATCTGGACAGATTTCACGACGTTTTTTAAAAACGTCATAGAAAAAAATGCCATTGTATATCCTTTTTCTTGTAGTGTTTCATTCCTATAAATATACTTGTATTAGTCTAGGCTGATATTTATAACTGTGGTCTGAATACTTTTTTGCAATTCATATTAAGGTGCTGGCTTGTTCTTATTCCATGGTCTGGGATTCACATTTCATTGCCTATTGTATATTAATTTGGGGCTGTAAACCAGCTTCAATTTGATCGCTGCCCACCTTAAAACTGTCACTTGTGAAATATATCAGACTTGATTGTACTTTGTTAATTTCTCTTAGTTACAAATTCACAATAGGTTTGCTCCATGCCTTTGCTTAGTTACAAAGTCACTCTTGGATGATTGAGCTCAACCACCAGTCTGATAAACTAGTCCAAAGAAACTGATTTCATGTGGCTATGCCCACGGGGGTTCAAATGCTGAGCAAAAACTGTTGTTCCAAGTTACTTTGGGTTTTCTAGAAATTGAGAGCAGCTTTAAGCAAACACCACTTTCCTTTTTATTGCTCGTGCATCATTGCTAGCAGTAAGTCAAGTGAGATATCCAAGAAAACAACCCAATTTGGAATTCCTTCGTTAATCATCTATGACATTATTATGGACGTTATTGTTGTTGGAATTTAATCCTGAGCCATGCTTTTGTTCTGGTGATTTCAGTCAAAAGCAATGATAAAATGGCACTATGTCCACGGGGTTCAAATGCTGAGCAAAAACTGTTGTTCCAAGTTACTTTGGGTTTTCTAGAAATTGAGAGCAGCTTTAAGCAAACACCACTTTCCTTTTTATTGCTCGTGCATCATTGCTAGCAGTAAGTCAAGTGAGATATCCAAGAAAACAACCCAATTTGGAATTCCTTCGTTAATCATCTATGACATTATTATGGACGTTATTGTTGTTGGAATTTAATCCTGAGCCATGCTTTTGTTCTGGTGATTTCAGTCAAAAGCAATGATAAAATGGCAAAGCTTACCTGATGATATTTTGATAAGCTGGCTCATCATCTGTAAAAATAGTAACCCGCTAGGCGATTTCAAATCATTTTTTAGGGGGAAAAAAAAAGGAAGAAAAAAAAGAAACACTCACTAGAACAGAATATGCACTCAAATAGTGGCATTTTTTATTTGAATTTGAATACAAACCAGAAAGGCAAGAAAACACCACCACGGACCACCCTTGCTTCGTCTAGCTCACCTTCATTCATTTGAAACTCATACATACATATATATGGATATGGTAGAGAGTAGGCAGTGTCTAGAGTAGGGGTAAAGGCTAGAAAAGTAGGTAGCTAAACCAAGAGGGGGTATTGTTAAGTTAAAAAACTTTTAAGCGACACAAGTGCAGCCATCGCCGCACTTGCAGCCGGCAGCAGTGGTGACGCTATTGGTGCAGGTGCAGGGGTTGCAACCACAGTGCTTGCCACAAGCACTTCTTGTGGTCTACTACACTGGGATCATCCCCAGTCTACTACACTGGGATCATCCCCAGTAGACGTGATTGCAATCAGTGCTCTTATAATATATGTGACCCGTGTAGCTAGGGTTACAAACAGACATGGGATAGGTATCAAGTGAGTTCACCAAGTTTGTTCTGTCTTCTGTGGAGATCTTGATCTTGAACAAAAGTAGACGTCTTTATTGCCATACTAACCCTTTTTTGTTTTTAGTTTACCACATGATTTTTATAAGAAATGCATTATTACAGCTTCTGGTCAACAAGACACTTTATGAGAAAACCATAGCAAGTGGCTTTGGCTCAGTTCACTTTCTTCTGGATGCTTCTGAACAGCAGCAAGTGAGTTGATGATTTTATTTATTTATTCATTTTTTCTGCTAGAAGATAGAGACAGGTGTTTATAAAATAAAAAATAAATAAAGAAAAGAAAAAGAAAATGATTGAGAAGATGCTATGGGTTGTTCCCTTCTTTTCTTTCTTATTATTTTTTGGTCTGATTGTTTTCCTTCTCTCAATATGTAGTACAAGGAAGCCATATTGGCTTATGCAATCTTGCTTAAAGCAGAGACTGGCCAGGTTTGTCTTGTTTTCTCCATTTTATATTTCTAATCAGTGAAACAATTGAACACTGCAAATGCTGAATGGAATTTGATATTTGTGATCATTTAATTAATTATAAATTACTATATTTGAACATGTTAAATGGTTGTTTCTAGATTCTATTTTCAATCAAACAGAGAAATTTATTTGAAGGTACTTTTGTGCATATGATAAAATGACTGCTTGTGCATCTGTTTTATGTAGTTATAGAATGAAATCAATATCTGTTTGCATGCAAGAGAGGTTCATATGCATCATTTTGGCCATTTTCTATTCAGCTTTTGGGGGCAATTGGTTAACATGGTATTACTACTTCAGTTCTAAAAGGTCCATAGTTTGTCTCCTTGTATGTTTTTGTACGTCATTATATCTGTTACTCTGCACTTTAGTTCGTATGTTAGGATGGCTTTTTACATGTAAGAGGAGATTACATTAGAAATGTCCTGTCGAAGAAATGTCCTGTTAAAGAAATGTCCTAAAACAGATGTTTTGAAATACAATATCATGTGAAGTGCGTGTTCATCATTTTGTTTCTATTGAAGATGTGTTTCCCTGTACAGTGAATCTCAGGTATTTTGCATGTTGCATTTTGACATCTGATATTCTTTCTTTTTGTTACTCTTTGTGGCCTACTCTCATAATCTCATTGGTCTAATTAGATTGTACAAGAAATTGGGCTTATTTTGAATAAAATTCTTTCATCCTGATCCTTTGCCTTTTTTTGTTTATTTTCAGGATGTTGGCACCATAATCGCCACAAAAAGAGTGAAGAATTGCATTGATCTGGCTGAAATGAGACTTCAAATGGACAAGGTGCAGTATCATCAGTGTAATTAACTGTTGTGTTGGTCATATTTACAAATTACCATGGCATGTGGACATTGGCATGACTGTAGGACATGGAAGCTCGAAATACTTAGATATGGCATGAGGCAATATTTTTATCATTGTATTATGATATAGGTGACACACACGTTTACATACCTATTTTCAATCTTGTGCATGTTAGGAGGGGAGGGCGGGATAGGGTGAGGAATCATGGGCAGTAAAGTACAAACAAACAAATGACATTGTGATATATTTTGCGACATAAAGGCAAAGTACACTAATTTTCTGGTGGATGGATGTGGGCTTTTTTATTCTTTATTTTTTAACTGAGTTTTCAAATTGGTGTAGGACTCACTGGCGACACTACATACAATGGGATGGGGTCAAGTGACCCCACTAGACTTAGAAAATTCACTAATATTTTTTTTACATATACATATTTATTTTTAAATTGACCCCTCTTGGTGGTTGAAATTAAACCCACTAAATTTTTTTGAAAGCAATGTTCGGGTCAAAGTAAATAAACAAGGTGTAAATTACACAAATAGTCTTTGTAAGTGTGTTAGTTATTTTATTTTGCTCCTTGTCACATTCGCGTCGTCTAGTCGAGGCAGATATAAAAATTAAAAAAAATTGATATAAAATTAAAAAAAGTTCGCTTAGTGTTATCTTTAAAAGTCTCATAGTCACACACCAATTTTTTATGGGGAGTTTTCTGGATGTCCTAGGTGAATTGTTGTGATAATCTTTCAGCAAAAAAAGGTATTTTATCAGTTGTGATGGACTATGTCCATTCATTCTTTGATTTCCTTCAACCTTGTGGACCTCTAGATGGACGTTAGGTCATCCTTTTACTTGAAAGGATCACTGAGCAGAGCTGTTCATCTTCCACTAAGCATTTTGGTGATCAAGTTGGTAATTTGGATTTGGTATAAGCCTTCATTATGCTTAGATTGGAAGGTAAATTTTTTTTACTCATCACTTTACCCAAGCATTTTGCTACAAAAATTTAAACACATTGAATTCATGTTCGTATTCACCTGATTAAGGATTTTTTGCTGGCTGGAATATTTCCGTCATGAAAGTCATAGATTGTACCTATTTGTAAGAAGAAAAACTAAAGAGGAAAAACAAACCAAAAAAAAGGAAAGAATCTCAAACAGATTGTAAACAACTTGGAATCAGGTATTTTAATTCTCTCATAATTTTTCTTATGAGCAATTCTATACATAATCCCATTTCTTATCTCATTTCCTCGAACCTAGACACACAGCAATGGGGCCCAGATTCATAAATGCATATGAGACCCACTCACTTGGGAGTGAGAAAACGAGATAAGAAATAGATATGTAACATTTTCCTTTTATTATCTCAAATTCTTTTAGTTTTATCTTACTTTTTCACTGCTGTCAAGGATTTAGCTTTTGTCAGGTTGATTACAAAACCAAGACACTATTTAACTCTTGAATTCGAGGGAGCACAATAAAGGTTTCACTGATTAGCTAACATGCTCTATGCTTAGTTGCTGATTTTGGAATAGCTATGCCAGCAGCTTCTCAGACCGTAAAGTATTTGACTTGCAGCCATAGTGGTCTGGAAGAATGTGGATTTCAAAGGACTATAGTGTAAGTGTAAAATCAGAAATCATACGCTGCGAGCATTATTCCAGGAACTTTCTCTCATTTTGGTATGTTGAGGGCTCTGCAGGGATCCTGCATCTGATTTTTATGATTTGTTTTAATTTTTGTAGTATGCATACCATAATTAATGAGATATTAGTTGGCTCTTATTATGTGGACTGACTAGGCACACGCTGCACAGTTTAGTAGTTCTGAGATTTTATTAGTTTCCTTGAGTCCTGCATTTATAATTAGGGAAAATTGCATTTCAGTGGAGCAATAGCAAAAAATTTGCATTTTCATGATGGTGCAACTCTCCTGTGTGTGTGCATGGTGTAATTTCATTCCTGTGCTACCAAAAAAAATTCCCATTTGTAGTGCAATTATTTTGTGACTGTTCCATGTATTTGCAATTTCCCCTTATGATTGTGCTATTTGGTTCATTTCTGAGTATTGATTCCAGTTACTGAATAACTAACTGCATTTGGCATGCTCGTGTCATACGCAACTCTTGAAGTTTGTTACATTAATGCACCTGTGGCATGTTTCTCGAGTATCCTTTTCTTTAATCAGATCCTTTGCTGAAGTTATAATTAAGCCTTGGATTATCGTATCTAGCCAGCTCTAAGTCCAAGGATTTTGTAGTCCTGTCATCTTCATCAGCTCTTGTGAAATTCTTCCTTAATTGTAACGTCTGTCCCTGACGTAGTAGTAGGTCTAGACATTTTTGTGGGCAATATATATGTAGTTATTTGGTCCATACAAAATGAATAAAGTTATCAATTGAACCTTGTACAACTTCTTGGTGAGTTTAGTATGCAGTTTCCACGACTCACAAGAACTCAGTGGTGGAAATGTATGACTTCATACCCTCTGTTTTTTCCCTCTTCTCATGTTTTTAGAAATTATATTAGAGTGAAAAAAATATGGAAGGCGGCCAGACATGCTGCTTTGAAAAGGTTTTTCGCTGTTCTAATATTGCATATATGCTGTCCCTTGTTTGTAAATGCATACATTCTTTCCTCACATTTATTGTCACCTATTTGTGGGAGATTCATAATTATGTCTGATATTAGTATATAGAGCCACCAGGGTAGCACAGTTGCCGTGCTTATGATAATTTGCCACTTTGTTACATGTTTCGTAATTAACACAAGCTTGGCTTTTTTAAATGCTTTCCAATGTGTCAAAAACAAAAGTCACAGCCGTATAGAATGACATTTTTTCACCAACTTGTGGATAGTATATGAGCAAAATTCATCAGGTTTTGGCATCCAAGTAAGTCAATTAATGTGCTCTTTGTATCCATTTTTGTTTTGGCTTTGGCTAGGCTGGTGCTGGTTGAGCATCAACTGAGTCAGGAATATTAGTCAAAAGATCCTTAGCGACTGCTTTCTGGCGGCCCATCTCAGCAGTAAAAACAGTTTGGTGTCGTCGATGGCGTTGAGATGGAGGGATCAGATATGGAGCCGAGGTTGACGGCTGTTTTGCTGGATTAGAAGTCGATCCTTGATCTGGCCGAGATGTGGAGGCAGCTTGAGGAGTTGTGACAGAAGGGGGAGATTGACTCTTCTTCTTCTTCTTCTTTGGAACATCGGGGAGTACTGATTTGTATGCTGGGATGAAGTTGAGTACCAAAAGGACTCTGCGCTTGTGGACTGGCAAATTCAAAAGCTTCTTCAAGTCTTTGCTGGGGAAGAAAGACTGGCGAAAGTCCTTTAGTGGCTGAGGTAGAACTGCAAAATGAATAGCACAGACATTAGAACGAAGTATTGAAGACTTTAAAAAACAAGTAAGTATAAACACTGAGCTCTTACCATTACCCTCTACAAAAACTGTTCGAGGAAGAGGGTAGAGGTGGAGGTCCTCATTTGGAGCGAACTCCCAGTTTCCCGAG